CTTCTTCTTTCTTCTTCATGTTCTTCTCCTGGAGGTTTTTGGGTAATAGTAAGTGATTGGACAGAAAATGCCATAGTGCATCACAGAGGTGATGGGTCATTGGGTCATTAAGAAAAATAATATACATGTCTACTGTGAATTGGGTAAAAATAGGTATAAAGATAAAAGAACTGTTTATTTGGGGGCCATTCTGTGCATCAGACACAAAGTGTGCCACAAGGCCTTGTTCGTACCATCAGAAGAAAGAAATGTACCAGATTGCCAAGATTAACCTTGTGTAGCCAGCCTGGAGAGACCTGTTAAGTTTTGTGATCACCTGTTAATAAACACGAGAAACAAGATTCTAACGAGCTTGGGAGTTTTCTTCGAATAATAAGAACTGAGATAAGCAGAGCTCCCCACGAGGGAGGATCCCAAAAGAATTCAGTCCAAAGGAGGCTGAGAAATCCAAGAATATAAAGAAAAATACAGAAGAGATGTAGCAAAAACAGAGAACAGAAAAAGGATTTTTTAGAGAAAAGTTACACCAGCCCTGAAGTGGTCAAGCAATGGAACTAGATGAGCAACGCTGATCCTTTCCAAATGAACCGTTCTATTCTATTCTATTCTATTCTATTCTATTCTATTCTATTCTATTCTATTCTATTCTATTCTATTCTATTCTATTCTATTCCTGATGCTATTATATGTCTTTAGTTAGGGAAGAGGTTAAAGCATCTCATCTTGGTGATACTAAAGTTTTTCAAAAGAGAGTAACTATATTACTGTATTCACTTAATATTGATCATAAATGCCATTCCTGGTACATCATCCTGATTTTTTTTTTTTTTTTTTTTAATGTGACTAACCCTACAGTTAATTACTTGGCCTAGCCTGGAGGAAGTACTAGCTCAAAATTCAACAAAAAATCTAGCATGGAACAGAAGCATTGCTGTAAGTCTAAGTAACTTGGTGGAAGTATTGCCACTGCTTCTTCTCAAATCCTTGCTAAAATTTCTCAAGAACTTTGCATCAACTGGAATTTTTTTCATCTGCTGTTTTTTTAAGCCTTAAGAGTTTTAGCACTTCCTGTAATAAGGAGGAACATTCTTGTTCAGGTGAGATAGTAGAATTTTTTCTATTATGAGAGAGCTTAAAACTCTGGTCTGTGAAGGCAGGAAATTATGAGAGTTATTGTTACCTACTGAGGTAGAATACAGCTAGAATTTGGATGCACAATTGTGACACCTCTATACAAATATAGAGCAAGAGAGTGTTTCACTGTTTCAAGTCAAGTGGTAAAGAGGGAAACAAAGATAAATGCATAGCTGTCCTGCCTGTACCTCTCTCCATGGAAAATGATGAGTGCAACTGGTAACAAACCCGTACTTCCTGGTCTCAGCCACACATCCTGATCGGTAAGTCTTGTGGCCCATCCCAAAAGAATCACTAGAAAAGGGGAGCAGGCAAAGATGAAGCAAAGGGCAAGTTAAGAGAAAACCATACAGACATCTGCCTTGCTTAACCTATTTGCCAAAGGAAAGGAGGCTTATAAATCAGTTGTACGTGGCTCTGTGTTCTTCAGTGATAATTAAACCTTTTCATTAAGTGTGAGAAAGCGGCAGGTGTCTCAGCATTAGAACTTTTTAACAGTCTTGTAATGACCGGTGAGAGAGGTAACTACTTCTCCAAGGAGAAATGAAGGTTCACCTTCTTCCTAATAGATGCCAAGTTAATAATGTAACCAGGAGAACAGCTTCGCCTGTAGCTTGTTTGCATTGCAAATCACTGAGAATCGACCCAAAAGAAAATACAAGAGAATATGAGACCTAGTCACTTCCCTGCTTATAGGAATGTTTATTTTATCCGGCTACCTAGCAGGAATTATAAGAATTCCTCAATCCACTAAACATCTGCTCACTGCAATGTGCTAAGTAACATGAACCGAGCAAATTAAAGAGCCTAGCTTTTTAGAAGACTATCACATTTATGTAGCAGGTGGATTTTTTTTTAAGAAAACAAGGCCAAAACTATAACTGGCTCTGGGATGGGGAGTGTCAATGTAATATTTTGATTATACAAATAGAAACATGAAAGCCTTTTCCGTCCTGTTGGAGTAAGTTATACTACACTGAAATCCTAGCACTGGAAAAAAATTGTGCCAATTTTTTTAATTCCATGCAGACTACTCTTAAGTACTCGGTAACTGTTCAGTCTACCTTCACAGTAAGGTCAAGGTGAGAAGGGCTTCAAAAAGAGGAGGGGATGACCCAGAACAGGTTTTGTCATCAGAGAAGTTTGTGACAACTTCAGGGCAAGACAGAGATGGCTGGACAAAAACGAAATCAAGTCTCTCAATACAGTCTTAAATTAGGCTACATTCTTTTAATCTATGTATGTACTTCACACCATTGAGGCCTCTTTCCTAACCAGACAGATTACCATTTGGATGTTGTAAAAATTGAATTCCAGTACTTTAAATTTGGACTGGATACATCGAATCAACTCTTCTGGATTGCTTTTTAAAACTTTTCCCCCTGGATTTTGCAGTGGCAGAAATAATGTTTAATTCTGAAAACTTCTCTACAATGTTTTATTAACTTAATGGTTGGACTCACTGTGCACATTTTCCAAATTATTAAGTGTAATTAATTTAAGTGGCTAATCATGTACTTTAGAAGTTTACACTAAACAGTCTTGTTACAGGGGTAGCAGTTTCTGTTACTGCTATGTAAATCTTAACTACATTTCAAAGCTACCCCTTAGTATTTGGTGTTTTCAAATGCTTTTTTAATTACATTATAAACAAGTTCCCATTAAAATACTATTAGTCATTAAAAATAGGATGTTCTATAATGTATAAGGGTAACTGGATTTCTGTGACACGTGTGGTGATGGAATTTTTTGATTGCATGATGACAGGATCATTTTCCATAGGACGTGCACCTTGTTAAGTGTTCCAGTATTCACCCAGTGAGCTGCTATGCAGCGCTTAGTCCATTCTTTCTGAATGCTGTCTCTTTATCCAGCAAAATCTATTCCTTCTCCCTAGGTTTTTATCAAGTCTTATTGTGTGCTGACAAGTAACAGTTTCCTTGGTTAGTTCCCATCCTCGTATCTTACTTATCTGTTATGTAGTCTTAAATTTATTCCCTTCCATAAAGACTGAGGCCTAGCCTCAGTTTTTTTGCTCAGCCTATCCTAAGCTTAGATGCTTTCCTATCCTAGCCCTCATCTTGTGAGAGCTTTTCCTGAGCATTCTTCTCTTTTCTGTGGGCTTTTTTGCTTCTATCCTCATGTCACATGATCTTTTCCATTTTTACTGGAAGCCAATGGGATACCCGTTTCTCAGGTTCTTCCCGTGACTTTTCAGGTTATGGAGAAAGTGTAAACGGTCAGTATAAAGGCACAGATGTACAAGCAATAAAATCACACAAGGGAACCATAAAATTTACAGCCTGTTCAACCACGAACATCAGAAAAATCTCAAACGTGCATATGCAAACAAGCGTTAGCATAGGGGTGGACATGGCACATCTCTGTCACGCTTTCAAGCTGAATAATGGCAATCCTAGTTTTTGTGTTTTTTTCCTGATTGTTTAATGTGGAAACCAGAAGGAATTATGCTCTTTTGCTCCATTCTAGCATAATACAAAGGAACCAAGGGAAGGGGGGAGGGCAGTCACCAACAGTGGCTATTCTATTGTTTTCTCTCAAAAACTTGGCAAAGCAACAAGCTAGACACAGCTGAAATGCGCTGGCTAAAAATTTCTCAAAGCTTTCATCTGAGACAGACACAAACCTGTCTAATACTATCATAGAGAAAGTTTGTCAAAGCCACGGATACCTGAAAAAGGGTTCCATACTGCAAAATATTAGTAATCCCTATACATGTAAAACATTACCAGCATTGCCTAAAATTCTGATACACACAATTTTATGCATACGATGCATGAATTATAAATTAACGGTATACTCTAAATGCATATTTTGGGTTGGGGTTGTTTTTTTGTGGTTGGTCAAGGAATGCTTCCTTGATTTTGGTATTTTTAGACGTCATTTGATTTCAAAACAGATCTACAAAAATTGTCTCAGCTCAAACGTGATCTTCCATATCGGGGAAATCAGAAGCTGGGGTGTTCTTTGTTCATGAGTTTGCATTTGAGATTTTGTTTATTTTTTAAATCCTTTCATGGCTCATTTGCCATATCAAGTCAGAAAGAAATCCCCGTCCTAACAGACTTCCCTCCGTTTTCTGTGATCAAAAAGCAGTTATATTTTATTGTCTTGAGGAAGGTAACGGAAAAGGATCTGGGCATCCTGGGGGCCATAAAATTGAACACGGGCCAAAAACGCTGAAGTGCCCATGCTGAAAAGGTGAATGGTATCCTGGGTTGCAGGAGGCAGGTCGAGGCAGGGGGATCCCTGCCCTCTGCTCAGCACTGCTGAGGCCAAACCTCAGCAGGGCTGTGCCGAGTTCTGGGCTCCCCAGTATGGAAGACACGAACACATTGGAGAGAGGGCAACAAAGAGCCACAAAAATGACAGAAAAGAAAGCATCTCTCCTAGAAGGAAAGGCTTAGAGAGCTGGGACCGTTCAGCCTTGGAGAAGAGGCAGCTCGGCGGAACTCAAACACCTGTATTAACACCTGCAGGGAGAATGCCAAGAGGACGGAGCCAGGCTCTTCCCAGCGGTTTTAGTCCTTCTTCCGGCAGGGCTTAGCGGTCACAGGAGCAACGCTCCTCCCGTACACTACCGCCGCTCCCAGCCTAAGCCACAGCACCCTGACACGATCCTACCCTCTATTCGCGCAGTGGAGTATTTTGAAGCATTTCCAAGCTCCGCTTTACCCGAGAGGCACAGAAGTGGGTGGGCAGGGGGGTTTGAGGCCTCCCGGAGAGGGCGCGGTGCCGGTCCCGGAAGGAGGGGGTGACGTGCCGCCGCCGCAAGAGGCCATGGCGGAGGCTCCGCCCGCGGCGTCGCGGGGATTCCTCAGGGCGGGGCCTCCTCCCGCTGCCACGGACGTGCCTCTGCTGGCCCCGCCCCTATATAAGGGGCGGCTTCAGCGCGGTCCTGACCGCGGTCGTCGCGTCTCCCGCAGCCGACCCGCGCTCGGGCACCATGGCAGGTCAGTGTGCACCCGCCCGGCTCTCGCCGCCCTTCGCGGGGGCCGCGGGCCGCGCTCGCGGAGCCGTCACGCGCTCCCGGCCAGCGGTCGCGGCGGCCGCGGCTGCGCCTATGTTTAGGCGGCCGTGCCTATGTTTAGGCGGCCGTCCCGGCGGAGAGCGTGCTCCGGCTGGTGGGGGCAGCGGCTGCCCGCGGAGGGGGTGGGAGCCGTCCCGCCGGGCCTCGCTGTGCGGTTTGAGAGGACGCGCACGGTGTCGGCTCTCTCCGCGCCTACCTCGATGCTCTGCCCCAGGCTCCGTCCCCTAACGGACGGGATGCAGCCGGCGTGGTGAGGAGCAGGCTGGGTCGGAGATGCCACTTGTAGGGCTACAATGGCTCACAGGGGAAAACGCAGCCCTCTCCTGAAACGCCTGAGAGAGCTTGTGATTTCTGTGATTTTGATACTTTGCAGTGAGTAGGTCCTTACCGGCTCTCCACGAACGTGTTGCTTTTTTCTTCCGTGTTTCTTTTGGTTTTTTGTGTGGGTTTTTTTGGTTGGTTGGTTGGGGTTTTTCTGTTGTTGTTTTTTTTTGCGGTTGTTTGTTTTGCTTTGTTTTTCTCCCGATTTTCACATGAAGTTGTCAGGAGATTCGGTTTCATTTTCAGGTCTGGAAGCCTGCAGGAAGTCTGCCCCCCATAACATGCTCCTGTCTCTCTAGGAATCCCGTACTCAAAAAAAAAGTCAGATATACTAGCACCTAACTCAGAGAATAGGAGCAAAGGCAAGCATCTGTGAACTCTGGCTATGCCTACAAAAAATCTTCCAGGGGAATTTTTAAATGATCTGGGGCAAGCACTCCAATAACCTCCTGCATGCCATCAAATGAAAGATCGCTTTTAGCTCAGACTTCCAGGATGCTTGTGGATTTGTAAGGGCTAGTACAAAACATTGCAAAGAGATATTACAGCCCGTGACCTGGGCAGCCAAAGAGGTCTCTGAAGTGGCATGGTTTTGTCTGGGTAAGTCAGTTAGGAAGCTGTCTCTCATTCTATGTCGTTTTGCAGACATACTGTCACCAAGAGTTAATTCTCTTTCAGGCCTAACAGTGGTTGCTGTGTAAACGCAAGATTCTGTGTTTACAGAGAAGGGGAAAAGGATGAGATGGGAGACCCATACACCTGAAATACCTGTTGCTTAGGTAGAATGGACTAGTCTTTTGCAGATATAACTTCCATAATAAGCACCAATGGGTCTTGCTCAAACTGTAGTGTGGGCTCGTGTACTTGTGAATGTACTTTAGATATAGAATAGAACGTAGTTTATTCAAAACTTCGGAAAGTTATGCTGACTTAGATGGTCTTCAAATTGGCAATATTCACCTCCCGGCGTGCAGTTGTAAAGTTTCCTCCTAGAGTTGAGATGCAGTAGGGGGCTTCTTAGCCTTTACTCCATCATTAAATTGACTTTATTTCTCTGAAAACCTTTGTGTGTGACTATTCAGTTTCAAGAAGATGAGACAGAGTAAAAGTATACCTGCTAACAGGTCAGTGAAGAAAAGACCTGTCTTTCAGTGGCAGGGTCACTTTAAGAATTAGTCTTACACCATTAGGGGGAAAAAAAAAAACCAAACAAGCAACGTTCAGATGAATATTGGGCACAATCCCACGTTGTCTGCCCTGGACTTTTAGTGAGCTGTCTGAGAGTATAGTTTCAGACTTCCACGTATTGAATAGTAACATGCAAATTACCGAGTGAAAAGCCCTGTCCTATTAGGAGGATGTTTATACAACTTAAAATGTTACACACTTGCCCTTTCAAAGAAACATAAAGTTGGTCTGCAGACCTGCTGAATATGAACTAGTACAAATAGGCAGCTAAAAGTGAATTGAAACAAAATATCTTTATTCCTGGCATTATAGAAGCTTTTTTGATCTTTGTGATTGACCACTATAATCTAAATCCCTTGGGACTAGTTGGTTTTGCTGCTAAGCAAAATAGAAGGTTTTGTAGCTGGTCTAGAGATCTTGCAGACCAGGTTTGCAGAGTTTATAGGCAATTATGGTATATGATTGTCTGTCGTTGACTGTTGAGGGGGTATTAAGTTAAAAAGATATTGACGAAGACTGCCTTGAGAACTTAAGAGTTGAGCCAAACAACAATTTTTCTGAAAGGAGTCGGTATTTTAATGTTACTACTAGGCTTGATAGTAAGCCTTTAAGTGCCCAGGACTCTCACTCTGTTCTAACCTAGTTAACACCTTCTGTAAAGAGAAAATAAATCAAAGTTGCTAAAACAAATTTGGCTCTTGAAATTCTTTGGAAGAAACTGTTTTGTTGATAGAGTGAAAAACAGGTTGGTAGAAAAGAGCATGCTTTCTAAAATGATACAACTTTGAAAGGAGGTCTATATGAAAAATAGCTAACAGGGAACTGAAAAACTTTTATAAGGTACTTGTTTGCTTTTGTCAGTCCCACTCTGGCAATTTAAAACAACGTGAAAGAATGCAAAGCTTGTATAATATGGCTTCAGTAAGTACTATATGGCAAAACCATCTCTCTTAAGCTGTATTTAAGATACAGCTGGAGCAGAAGATTATAGTACCTCTTTTTGTTCAAAGAGCGAAAATTGTTCCTGCAAGTTTTAAATTGCTTTTTGTATTACTAGTTACTTGCCATTTAAATCTTGCATTCTTGTGACAGAGCTGCAATCATGGGTTGCAGAACAACTCATCTGCAAAATCCTGAGCTAGCAAAACTTAAAACTGTTGTCTAAGATATAATTCAATACTTACTTTCATTTGGAAATGAAATGCAGGTTTTATGTGCTTTAGCTTTGGGGTTGAGAGCTGAACCTAGAGAAACTCTACAAAACCCTACTAACTTTAGGCCAAAAGCACGCCTACTGACTCCAAACACTTTTTGCATAATTGCATATTAGTGGCCAAAGTAGGGCTCTTTAGAATTTGGGACTGTCTCTACATTTGGTGTGACTTATTTAACCTGTGGACAAATTTGAACTGGTGTTCTTTTGAAACGGTCTTGATTTTTGTAGGTCATTTTACTGCATTTTGCCATTTGTCAAGTTACCAACAGCAAATATAGGTATGCAAGTAATCTGCTTCATTCAGTCACATAGGAAGGCCCTATACACAGAAGTAAAGGGCTTATCTTAGAGGCCTCACAGCATGATTACATAACAGTACTAGGTTTAGAATGTATGTCTTTCAGAATAAAGTAGTGTATCATGCTAACTCGACCAAGTTCATTTCTTCCAGACCAGTCTTTTGTGACTCTAGCCACAAATGACTCCTATGTGAAAGGAGCACTGGTACTTGGTTCATCCTTGCAACAGTACAGAACAACAAGGAAGCTGACTGCACTCATAACTCCTCAGGTCTCAGATCTTATGAGGTAAGGTCACTCACATACTTCAGACTGCAACAGTTGCTGCTGATGTGCAGGTTGTAAAATGAAAGCTAAATTCCTCAACAGTAACCTTTTAAAACTCTGGAAGCTAACAGCTCATTTCAGCAGAACTTAATTTATCTATGCTATCTGGGGTTCTGTAAGTTCTTAAAACATGAAGCTTTGTGTTTTGGTGTGTTTTTTTTCTTCCCTGTGATCAGTCAAATAGTCTGCAGTTAGAGCTCTAAACCATGACTTGATACTGATATTTCCACTGGATCTTTGCTCTTTTGTAGTCCTACTTAGAATTATCCAACAATGTGATACTACCTGTGCATTTGTTAGTGCTATGTGTGTATGCATGTGGAGGTGGAAGCAGGGAATTGGTATTTATTTGTTTTGCAGAAGTATTCCTCATCGAGATAATATAACACAAGCTCTCTTGAAATCTAGCAGACACTTCAAATCAAATTTTACCATGAGTATGTCAAATTTTACACTGAGTATGTCAAATCAGCAGCTGAACAGAGACTTCTAACGAGGTCACCACAGTACATCAAATGAAGTTAACAGGCTTCCTGCAGCCTCCTTAGAATAGTGTCACTGTGGTATGGACTGGATTCTCTTTCCACATATAAGAGGGTAAAAAAAAAAAAAAAGACAAACAATGAAACAGTAACTATGGGAACTACACATGATGGGTCAAGATTCTCTGCATGAGGAAGAAATGCTGAAAAGAGTTATCAATATAAAGACACAATAGAGAGGTGACTCAATAAAAAAACGCAGTGACTCTCCCTGGAGTCTCCTGGCAGCTAAACAGTCGTATCAATATTAAGATGTTGCACATAGGAATATCCATTCCAGCCTACTAGGTGAGTGTGCTCTTTTAAGATGAGCCCTAAATGTACCCATGTGCTAGTGGAAGCCAGCTAGTCCTATGCCCTTAGTCATACCTATGTACTTAGTGGTGTAATTGGAACTTGCATTTCTCGCCCTGTCTCCACTAGCAAAGTATGCCTGAAGTTCAGAAGCACTGTCCACACCGAACTGTCGGTACAAAGACTGCCTTGCAAAGCAGAGTTCCAAAACTCATTTGCAAGCTCTGTGACGCAAATTGTACTGGTAGTTGCTGAGCATTCAAGATACTCTGTAGAACAGTAAGACTTTACTGATGTTTCCTGTTTTAAGCAGGACCTTAACACCTTAATCTCTTGAACTAATGGTAATGCTCTATTGATGGTAAAGCAAAGGATATCTGGCACAAATTTTCACTAAACTGCCTGAAAGTTTGTCACTCTCTAGCGAATACCATACTGGCTCAAAACATTTCCGTACCCACAGCCATGACTAAGTCAATCTTGAAAAGATTTTATGGGATAAAGAAAGGTTTAGCGACTGGGTCTAGTCAGATGTCTCAAATGTCCTAGATGTCACAAATCCAGAACACTGTAAGTATTGCATAAAATTGTGTCTCAGCAGTAGCTACTGTCCTGCTCAAGCTAATCTAACAGCTTCCCATTTCTTAACTGCCTGCTCAGAGTAGACTGTTAAATCTGAATCTGGATGGAAAAAAAAAAACCTTTGTAGAAAGTTTCTTCTACATAGCTGTGACTTACTGGACTTGATAGCAATGGCAACTAAAACTCTGTGGAAGGAAAAAAAAACCCAAGAGACTTCTCTGTTCCCCAAAAGTTTGTACATTGCAAACTTTGTGGCAGACAGGTGTACTTGTGTGTTCCAACGTATGCAGTCAACTCCTGCCTTTTTTTAACAAGAAATGTTGCCAGGTTCCCTGCTATTCCACTTCTTTTACGGAATCTGTCACGTGGTCTGTTGTTGTAGTAACACTAGAACTAAATCTTGCCAATTGACTCTTCCGCAGGAGAGTGCTGGAAAAAGTCTTTGATGAAGTCATATTGGTAAATGTCTTGGATAGTGGGGATTCAGCACACTTGGCGTTAATGAAAAGACCTGAGCTGGGTGTCACACTAACAAAACTTCACTGCTGGGAACTGACACAGTTTTCAAAATGTGTTTTCATGGATGCAGACACAATGGTAAGTGCTTGTGTCCCATGTATCAGGGTGTATCACATGACCTAGTATCACGGTTGTTGGATTTTTTCCTGTGGGTTGTTTTTTGTTTTTTTTAAGCATAGGGGTAATAGAAACCTTTTACCAGATTGACTAGTACCAGTAAGAATGTGTGTGCCTTTTAAACTAAATTTAACTGTAATGAAGTCTGTGGGGACTATTTCTGTAAAGTATTGTCTTTCATAAGGTGAACACTGACACAAGAACTTTCATTCATGTCTTAATGTTGATGCTAAAATCCATTAAAATGTGATACCACAATTCCTAACCTAAAAGCATCTTTTTAAACTCCTTTACAATTAGGTTTTGTCAAATATAGATGAGCTTTTTGAGAGAGAAGAGCTGTCTGCAGCACCAGATCCAGGCTGGCCCGACTGTTTTAATTCAGGAGTTTTTGTTTACCGACCTTCCATTGAAACATACAGTCAGCTGTTACAGTTTGCCACAGAGAAAGGCAGCTTTGATGGTATGTATTAATTTGTATGTCAGTGTAAGTACACAAAAATGGTGACAGTAGTTGGGATGGCTCAGTAACTACATACATCTCAAGGGGAGTCTATATGATAGAATTCTTAACACAACTATGCAAAAACTGTATCCTTCTCAGAGGCTATCATTACCATATGTAGTCAAACAATTTTTTCAGACTTTGTGAAATAAAAACTGAGTTTGGCCTCCAGACCAAAAGGTGTAGAATCATATAACAAGAAATGAAACTCCACTACTATGCTTCAGACATTCCTAATGCTCAAGGCTTGAATGTTCCATACTAAGCTGCTATAGAAAAAAATAGTTCTCTTTACCAATATCAAGTGCATGTGGTAGCCTTGGCTGCTTCCCACTACAGGTTACTTGGGATCAGCCACTGTACCAGGTTTAAGCTTGAGAATCCCAGTTCTGCTGTCCTGTAAGTCTACTAAATCTGTCACTGTCACAGTAAATGAGTATGTTGTTTGGAGACGACTATAGTTAAAGGCTTCTGATTATCACTGTTTCCTGTCAATTACTTTATTTAACTACTGTGGTACAAAACAAAGTCTAAATTAAAAAACTACAGAAAATTATGTAAATAAGACCATAAAATGGAACTCTCGGATTGAAGGTAATGAGCTAGCCCATTGATTTACCTCTCAGTACTTTGTGAAAAGTAAAATACCCAGATGTCACTCCTGGTCTGCAGAATAATCCTTGTTACTGTAACGACTCTTGTGTGTGGCCTTCTAAAGAACATTAGTCAGTCGCATGCTTAATGCCACCTAATGAAAATGAGTACTGTCGTGTAATAAAGGTCTGTACCTTGCTGTGCAAATTGATCACCAGCTATGGGAAAATCCATAGCATAATTCTGAATTGTTGCATTAAAACTAACAAAATCCCCAAAACCAAACAAAAAAAACCCAATCACCCCCTCCCACACCCTCCCCCGAAAAAAAACCCAACCCACTCCCCTCCCAAAAGCAAGCAAACAAAAAAACCCCAAATGAATAGAATTGCTACTACAATATGCTTTCTGACTTGAAAGCTAAAGCCACGCAATGGTAAAGCTTCTGTCTTAAATGCAAAGCAACTGTTGCAGCACCTAACAGCAAAAAAAGTGGGTTAATTGTTTAGGTATCAAATTCCTTGAACTGTTATTTGTACTTCAGCTTCAAAATTTACTTAGTTTTTATTAAATGGTAGCACTGATGTGAGGAATGAGACCATGAAGACCTAGACCATCTGTATAAGCTATTGCCTAGCTTGGGAACTTGGTAGGGAGAAAGGGACTTGAAAATTAGATTGACTTAGAGAGTAATAAAAGGGTCTAGGAAATTTAGTAAGAGAAACCTGTGAAGGGTCACTGCTTTTAATAGGACAGAGGGATGCAAAGTTAACCTATCAAACTATGTGTAGTTGAAGTCAAGCTGTAAGTTCCTTGTTTGCAGTAGGAGTAACTAGTGAATGGAAGACCTTCTAGAATATTTCTTGCATGTAACAGCAAACAGCTGCCTCCTATGTAGTGATGTTGTCCAGAAATGGCAGAATGATGGCTACTTATATAGACATCTACTGTGTCTGTCTAAATTTCACCTTTCTAGATAATAAAGAGCATGTCATGCAACTACTCTAGATAGCATCTAAAAGTAGTGGATGGGAAAGAAAAGCTTGGTTTCAGAAGAAATCTGGTAGTACTGCTACCTTAGGAATGTTGCTATGGTTTAGACAATCCTCTGGCTCTTTAGCCTGGGATCCAAAATAGTTGCTTTTACAGTCTTGCTGTATTGTACCTTCATATGTATCTGTAACTATGTAGTTAATATAAGCACTGCCTGATTTTTCACCTTATGTCTGAGATCCTGTTTATATATAAACAACACTCCTGTTGAAGTCTGAATTAGGACAGCTAGATGCTGCTTTCATTGTCTGCTTTGGCACAAATGCATGTAATCTGAAAAAAAAGTCGAGTACGTAAAACAATCCGAGCAAGAGCGAGTCCTGTAGGGGAAGTTAAGTACACTGTTGCTGCCCCTTAGGTTCTTTTATGATGGATACAAGTTCTCCAAAAGTGCTTTCCTTCCTTTATGGATTGAGAGGCAAGTCAGAGGTTTGAAATTACTAGACTGAGTCTCCAGGCTGTTTCTCACTCTGCAATCTGCATGTATGCTGACAGCTGTAACAGGATACCTAGAATTTATATTTGTCAGTGTACTGTCTGTACATCTAAGTTTATGCCCGGCCTCTAGATACTTCAGCTGCAGAAAACAAATTCTGCTCAAACAGCACTGATGGTATAAACCTTAATGCTGCCCTAAATCGAATCATAGGCCAATAAAAACCTTTTTCTGAGTCAGCAGAGACAGAGTGCTTGAGAAAACTCAAGATTGAAATGAAGCATTGCCTACTAACTTAAGCTATCCATTTATCTACTCTTTAGTAATGCTATTTGTGAATGCTGTGAAAGAATACAGCAAGTGAAAGTTGGAGGACTCCCTTCAATCTCCTCGATAAGAGGAATTACCATTTAAAGACTAATCATATTCATTGTGATAAAGAATGAATGGATATAGATAAATAGGTTTTTACTTCTCATTTGCTGCTTATAAACTAGTCTAGTCTGCTCTGGTCTGAAGGCTATATTTATTTTTTTAGTTAATCTACTACTGAGATACCAAACAACTTCAGACTCACTTAACCTTGTAACAACTAACTACCTGCAAACTAAGAGGTGACCTCCTCTGAACACAGATTGCTATCCTCATTTAGTGGTTAGTCAGGAGCTTTTTACTACAGAACTAGAAACACCTATTGTCTGTTAAGGAATGTAATGGAGTTTTACTAGAGTTGTCACCATAATTACATGTGCTTTTCTTATCAGATCAGTGTGGAGGTAGATGCATCTGGGACTGCAGGTCTAACAGGCTGCCGATACCCTAACTCTGTCAGTGAGATTATGTTGGTTTCATGCATTTGTAAACTTAAGTAATAAAACTAGTTGTTGCCATTTCATCTTCTGAGCTGCAGTTTTCCTGAAGCTGACCAGTGCTCAGTTAAACTGTTTTATTGTGGGAGTTTTTTTGCTGCCTTATACAGATTGAATTTAAGGTGTAAAAGAAACTGAATGGCAGAGTTTGTGAGCAGCTTCCTATCTTTTAACAAAAGTATCCCCATCACACTATTTCATTCTCTCTACATTTTTGGAATATTTAGATGCTGCAAGGTTTACAGGGTTGTTCACAAATAGAACTGTAGTACTCTGTGCCAGACTTCTACAGGACATGATAACATGCGTTACCAAACCTTACTTAGTAAGGTGACTGAAAAAGATCCTTGAACAGCTGTCTGATGCTCGTAGCCTATTAATGCTTTCTCTTTTAGGTGCAGATCAGGGGTTATTAAACACCTTCTTCAGCAGCTGGGCAACAACAGACATGAGCAAACATCTACCGTTTATATATAATTTGAGCAGCACTTCTGTATATTCCTACCTTCCAGCATTTAAAGCGTAAGTTGAAAACTTCAAGAAGACTTTCAGAGCATACATAAACTAATTTCTTGTAACAGAATGAGCAGGCATGATGTGACCTTTCACAGGTTTTCTAGAAGGAGACTGTTCCTGTCACTCAAAATATCACCGTTTTTTCTCTTAAAAAAAAGGTTGAATTGATGAAAGTCAAATGAATCATCTCAAGATAAACACAGAGAGACAGCTGTATCTGTAGCTTAAACCATTCACCCCTGGTGAAACGCTGAAATTGATTTAGAGTAAGCACCTTTGACAGGTCACTTGCAAAAGGAAACACTCTTCCAGTATTGGATACAGGCTAGTACAGTTCTAACCAATGGCAGTAGGCTCTTCAATCAACTTGAGCTGAACTTCAGCTTGTCACTGGTGGTATCCTTCCCACTTAGATAACTTGCCATTTCTTCTCTCCAATTATTTAGGGTATTTGACAACCAGTAGTTACAGTTTCATCTAGTCAACCTATACCATTCAAATAAGTGTGGTGAACAAAAATTTGTATCAAGCTAGAATTCTCTCCTAATGGTCCTTCTAGACCACTTTCAGTTCCTTAAGTAACAGCAAGATGAAAGAAAGAATACAGCCAACCATAAATCATTGCGTGTTTCCTCTGTGACAAAAGTTGTAGCCTCCCTAGCTAGCAGCACTAGTTTGGCATGTGAGTAAACTGTATGTCAGAGGCAGGGTTGTTGACTGTTTTAACAATCCAGGAGAAAGGGGGCGGGGGGGGAAGAAGGGAAACTGAAGCGTTACACAGAAACTCTTTATTATGAGCTACAGAAGCTGGAGGCAAGGGAAAGTGCTAAGTGCATAAAAACAATCTGATCTCTGAATGACATCAGGTTTCTAGTGTCTAAAGCAGCAGCTGGCATAAGCAGGGCTTGCTGGCTCAAGATCAAACTATGTCTTGTGATCAGAATACTGTTTGGAATCTTGTCATGCTGAAAGTGGAACACTTATTTAAAGAAATATATGCAAGCCTCAGAATGACTAAGTAGCTGGATAGCATTGGATAAACTAACGTCTGTTGTAGAGTAGGCTCTCTTTCCATGGCTGGCTGTTAGTCACATGACCTTAATTTTACAAATTACTTTGTTGCCAAGAAAGACTAATTGGATCTGAGGAGCTCCTGACAAAATTTCTCTTTAATTGATCAAATAGCTTACTTAACTGAATTCATCAGACCTTCAAAAATAGAATGCTGGAAGTGCAGCCCTTGTAAGTAACATTCCCTGCTCAATAGGTGGAACAAGTTCCCTTGGTTAGATCAGCAGCTATGCTCCTGACAATCAGCAGTTGGACTATAGTGAAATTTAAACCTACTGACAGCAATAGCTAAGTTTTTTGCAGCTTTGTACAGCGAGACTAGATTTCACAGCAGTCTCAGTAATCCTTTTTCCAAAGGAAAATGCCAATTCATGACAAATGCTCTCTAACTTCAAAACATTGATGAAGGACTTTTCTGGGAGATGTGGAAAGACAGATTAGTTGCTGAGGCCAGTGTGGACATAAAGCTTCCTAACAGTTGAGCTTAATGTCAAAATAAAGTATTGCAGGTCCAGAAAGTACCTAGAAAGCAGAGGCTGAAAACATTGTAGAAGCTTGGCATCTCTTGTTCTGACTGTAAGTGGACAGGATACTAAGAGGACACTTCACCCTTTGCAACAAATGTCACATGATACTTCTTATGCATTCTATTTTCTAGCTTAACTTCCCTTGATTTTTGAACAGTAAGTTTCTTCAGAACAGCAACAGCCTAAGATGCTGAAGAAGAAAACTTGGATTGTTTAGTACTGTGACAGCTAATAAAACTAAGGTGGTCCCCTTATGCTAAATCTTGACTTTTGGGGTTTGAAGTTAAAGTCCAGTAACTGATCTCTTGAAGACATTTGTTTTTTCCTGCAGTTAATGCAAGTATTTGGCCTTTCATACACACACAAGTCTTTACTCTGCAAAGATCAGTTGTATTCAACACATTAAACGTGAACATTGAAATACAGTCGGGAGCCTTAAAACAATATGAAACCCATAACCCCATCCAAATGCAGACTTGGTTTGAATATTCTATGGCTTTTGAAATACACCTATATCGTCTCCATACATAAAAGTCTAATGTCTGAGTCCTGGTCAAAATGACCAGCATCTGCTTAGTAAAATGTTAGGCAAGCTACTTAATGTTACTCTCCATTTCGGTCATGTTATGTTGACAAGAAAGCCTAATATGATACAAACTGAACTAGGTGAGATAGTCATTGTTAGCGGAAAGACCAGTATTGCATGGTCACAAAGCTGGATCAAGCTGAAACCAAGTTCTGGAACTGTAGGAGAATGACAGGAATGTTGTCTCTTTCAGTCTTAAGTTCTTTACTTAAGAAGAGGTGCATCTCATCTATACTTTTAATATAGAACAACATACTGATAACAGTTGGGACAAAGCTGGAAGTCCACAGTGAAAATGGAGTTTAAATAGTTTCAAAAAGAAATGAAAATAACCCACCACCAAACCCGCCCATGGCTGCCCTCAGGTTATTTAGGAAGTAAGGGTTGTCTAGCAAGACCCCACTGCACCCAGGTCAGGAGTCTTCTAAAATGCCTTGGTTACACAAAGTTATTATTTTGCAGGGACATGGTCTCCTTGCAGCAGAGCCATCCAATGATCCATTTCTACAGGGCTATAAACTGAAAGGGGTAACTCTAAACACTAACCCTTCTCCACATAATACTTGTAATGCTTAACTCTCTGGCTTGCTGACTTTGGAGTAGAATCTTTTTCACTTTTAAAACCAGTTCCGATTGCAACGGCTGCTTGTGACTGCTCTCTCCCGAGCTATGGACATCATCCTAAAGACGTGAGTTGTCTGTAAGTATTTAAATAGCCCAGACCATTAGGTTTTGGTTGTATTCTGACTAGTGTAATGTAGAATTCAGTTTGCATTTTTTCTATTGTATTGCAATGCTTTCAGTCCCAATAGGCACTGGCAATTTGATCATTTAGCATTTAGCCTCCTAAAAATATTAATATTTCTGTTTTCTGGAAAAATACAGACATAGCAGGTTAAAAAAAGTTATGTCTGCCAGTCAAAACTCATTTTCTAGACACGTGTATAAACTGACTCGTAAACTTTTTTTCCGCCCATCAGGTTTGGTGCAAATACTAAGGTAGTGCATTTCCTGGGAAGTACAAAGCCATGGAACTATACATATGACTCCAGAACAAAAAGCATAAAGGGCAACATGGATGACCCTAAAATAGTTCACCCAGAATTCCTCAACATGTGGTGGGATACCTACATAGCCGATGTTTTACCATTACTAGAACAGCACGGAATTGTTAAAGATATTACTACAGGAGTAAATATGGTATGTTCTTTAGTAATCTTGTATATCCATACGTAAGTATGGATGACAGGTTATTTACCATTGCGTCAATTTCCCTTCCCCCTGTCCATCTCAGAGCATGGGTGTGGTTTAGTTTGTGGGATGCAGGGTATTTTAGTTTTGTCCTTTTAAGCTTGGAATAAATAATACTACAAAAGAGAAGCATGCTAGACAGGTCTTGGACATAGCTGTATGCTTGCCTAAAACAAACTATGTACATTGTTAATGTTGCACCAGGTCTTTCACTGGTAACTTCTTGGATGTAGTTACTTCTTTAATGTGTACAGAGAAGGGCCTAACTCTTAATGTGTTGCAGCTAATAAGGTTCTCAAGTAGAAGAACCTCAGTTCAGCATGCAAATATGTGCATACAGATTTTGCATGGTGAATCACATTTAGGTAAGCCTAGGATAACTTGAGAATCAATACTTATATCAACAGGCAGTGATGAATGCGAATACTTATTAACATTAAAGGAATGCTTCTAATTCTAGTTCTCATACACAGAGTTTAGTAGCCTGCATCTGGCTGCAGACTTCTTAGTCTTAGTACGTGGACCAGTTTAAGTTCTCAGCCTTTCTAAGAGCAAAGTTACTGATCTCTTAAGATGTGCTTCTCTTGGTAATCTTGCATCTTTCTAACAAACTATTTGCAGCTATCGGGCTTGGTCTATACTCTGGCTTTCTCTTGTGGCTTCTGTAGAGAGGTATGAAGAACTTAAACTTTACTTTTTTTTTTTCTTTTTCCCTTGCCAACTTCTGTAACTCTGCTTTGTTATTTTTCTAGGAAGGCTGCACAATCCCTACCCATTGGCAATGCTTGCTACTGTGCATGATAATATCTACTTTGTTGTCCCATTCTATGGCCTGTTGCTAGCTTTAGCTTTACAAAGTATTTCTATATTTTAACTCTACCTTTCCTTTTAGGCAGAAGTTACAGAGGCAGTGTCCCACGTGTCAGTATCACCATTATTATCCACTGAATCTTCAGAAGAACGCAAGGAACGGTGGGAACAGGGCCAAGCTGACTATATGGGAGTGGATTCCTTTGACAACATCAAGAAGAAACTTGATACCTACCTTCAGTAGAAGTGCCTGTCTCAAACAGTGGTGATGCAAGGACTTATTCCAGAACTAACAGCTAGAAAGGTATAGATGGTGGTCAGTTACACTTGCTAGTAGCTTGAGGAAAAACTTCTTGGCTGAAAGCCTCTGCAGTGCTACAGATGAAGACTGAGCAAAAGCTAGGAAGCAGAATCCTTGGGCCACCTATTACTGCCCAATTTCCAGTTCTCCTTACTAGATAAAACCAGGTATTTTCAGCTTAAAATTTCTTCTGTTTTGATCAATTGGCTCACCATATTCTTTAAACTGGGTTTGTTACTTCACCTCATTAAGGTGATTAGCATTGATTCCTTTGCTTGCTGTTTTAGATGTAAAATCTAATTCATGGGATTGCTCATACACTGGAGTGGTAGCCATTCTGCTTTACCATAGATGTATTAATGACACTGGAATACATACAGTTTTAACAGTAATAGCACTGCTTTGCTCTTCCAGTCACAATTGCACTGAAATTTTGACCAGGTTCTTACGCACAGTGCCTGCAGCATGGCAGAATGCGTTTTTCAGTTCTGTATACTATGGGACTAGTAAACTGAGTTTTATCTGTTCCTTGCAATGTTGCACTTGATACAAAAATAAAAAGTTGTCGTGCATTTGTCTTCCCTAAACTCTTGAGCAATTAAAAAAAAGGAGCTCCAAAGCAGTCTAACTAAAATATTTAACAGGTATAAATACCTTAAGCTTTGCTGATGCTACTCAAGCTCTCATTAGCAAATGTCCAGCTTTTAGTTTGTAATTATTTAGAAGTATTTAGTCATTTGCCAGGGAGCTGTTTGGGGCCAATCCCCATATTAGCTTGCCATAAACATAGGACAGGGCACTGGAGGAAGTACCTGCTGAAGCTGTTTACATTAGTAACTTGAAGTCTGGGAAGAAGGTGTCTTTCTTTCAAGTGGCTAAAGAAACATCATCCCTAATGTAAGCCCTGTATGCTGAACTTAGTCCCAAACACAACAGTGACACTACTTTGGCAAGGAAAGACTATGTAGTTGCTTAAGTAACTGTATCTACCCTGGTAAGGAAATCTACTCTTTCCATGTATAAAGCCAGTAAAAGAAAGTGCTTTTTTTGCTACACTCAGGCTACGTGTACTCCAAGACACATAGAAAAGCAGTAAAAATAAAGCATACTGATGACAGAGATTAGCTGTCATCTGTACTGAGGTTTAGATCTATCCTTTAGCCAAAAATCTAAACAGAACAAAATCAGTGTTCTTTGACAGCTGGACCTTGTACTAATCCAGAAACACTAAGAAAATATTACTTCATTATTTCCTAGTAAAGGAGGACTTTGGCTGGAATCTGGTGATGGTGTTAAACCTTTAGCCTAGAGATAAAATAAAGAATGAACAAGGACTCACCATTTGCTGGTAAAGCAGAAGACATAATACAAGTATAAGGGTTGGTCTGTTTTAACTTGTTTTCACTAGTTAATTACTCTATGATTTAATTGGTCACCATATAGGAAAAATGCTAAAAGATGAGGTCTAAACCAAAGTAGCTTGTAGCTACCTGAACTTCCACTTGTAACTAGCCCTTTCCTGTATGGGTTTTTCTTTTGCTGTGTTTTTGTTGTTTGTTTGTTTGTTTGTTTTTTTCAATGGATAAATTTGAAGTTGTATGAAAGCAGGAGGGATTGCTAGTTACAGTCTGTAATGACAAAAATATACTTTATCAAACAAATATTGGAGAGTTCTGCATACTCAAAGACTACTCTATGGAAAATGGTAAAATAATCTTTTTAAGAGAAACACTAAATTTTCCTCCCCTTGTCTGTATTCATACTTGAGAATAGGCACGTTACTTATTTTTAAGCTTAGTGGGAGAGAACCAAGAAAGTATGAAAGTATGACATTTATCACCTGCCTGAAAATTTGGTTTAGCATGTAAGTTTTGTTACGTTAATACAATAAGATGAGGAGAGATGCTGAATAAGATGAAAACCAGTATGTTTGGGGTTAACAAGTACAGTTAGTGAAGAAAGATAACCTGTGAAAATAATTCTGTTGTAGCCTCTGTAACACATAGTATGCTCAAAGCCTCAGGAAAGGTATGACATCTATACCAAATTCTATGCAGCTTATTTTCAATAAAATGACCTTTATGTCATTATTTGCCACTATTTCCTTCACAATTGCTGCAGGCAGCTCTTTGCAGAAAAGCAGAGATCCCTTTTTATCCTTTGCAATAGCATCACTTGATACATCAAGCACTTTTCTGCACTAATCTGAAGGTGCTCAAAACAGCACTATACTCTAAACATCATTATTCAGAATAATCACAGCACTGCTTAGATTGCAACTCAAATATTGGAACTTCATTTGCCATTGTGAAGCCTACAACACCTATAAGGTGTTCCTTAAATGGTGACAACTCAGAGCAACTCTTAAAAGCTTAAGAAGCATTTTTTCCATATACATCTTTATTTTATGTATAGGGTTAAAAAAAACCCAAAAAAACCCCAAAGAACAAAAACCCCCAAACAAATAAGCAAAACCAGAATGACAGACTATTGACTCAATCTTTGGAGTTATAAATAATTACAAAAACTCATTTCTAGAACATACTGTTTAAACTCCACAAAAGAGAATGCCAAAAGCCAAAGACTACTTACAGATCATAAAAAGCAGAAAAAAAGTCCAAACAGCCAAAACACCAAGGTGTTTAACCACCTGCTTACTGAACATCTCCATCAAATCAGACAGAAGTTTTCTGTGCTTAGCTTTTACCTCTTTTTTTCTCAGATACATTAATGGCTTTCTTGGGAGAGACCATAAAGCTTAGTAGTACCTTTAGTAAATTATATATGGCTTTGGAACATGGAAATCATAATCTAATAGACAAAAAAAAACCCATACTAGTAATTGTGTTCAGTTGTTTTCATAATCACAATAATAGTTTTCATAATCATACATGCCAAATGTCAGCATACTTTCACATAAATAATGATGTAGCTTGATTAGTCATAGAAATGGCTCTCTTCCCTGTGAAATTTTTACTTGGAAAATGGATATAACAGAAAAAAAGGCCAAATCCCCCCTTCATAATTGCAAATTATTTTTCCAGTTTATCTCTAAATATCAAAATCTGAACGAGAACAACGCAAAGAAAGTTTAATTTAGATAAACTCCATGCAAAAAAACCCAAAAAACCAAAAAGAAAAAAAAAAAAACAATCCCAAAAAACCCCACTCAAAACCCAACTTCAATCAGGTTTAGCTCTGTTTTCTTGCTCTTTTTCAGCTTTCCAGTGACAGTCAGATACTGGGGTTCATGCTGTCTTCCATCGTTCATGTTCTTGTAATTCTTTCTCTAACAGACTTAAAGTATGCCTCTCTCCGTAGCTAAGGTGCTGGCTCTCCAAAAACTGCATCAGTTTGTTAGTTTACTTGTTTTTAATTCCTTTCTCACTCCTTTCATTAGCTCGCTTTCTCCAAATAGTAGACATCTTCCCTTTATTTCTCAGTCCTTTTCCATTTCCTATGCTTGCAATTCATCTTGTAATCAGTAGGCCGATATTCTCAGACATAAGAGGTGAAAGGCTTTACAAGCTTTACAGACTCCATTTCTCTGCTGCCAAGTACACCTCCCAAATGTACAGGTGTAGTTTACTAAATTCTTCCTCCATAAGTCAAGTGGCATGCAGATCAGCATTCCATTAAGACACATGTATGGAGGTGAAAAACATCATTTTTCCATTACAAGAGGAAAAGCAGTACAGGAACACTGTTATAAAGCTGGCAGCTATTAAATAATTTTTTGTTTTAATTTATTTTGCAAGGACTAACTTCTTCACTGACACGAGTGGATTAGATTCTACTTTCAATATAGCACAGTCTTATTGTTCAAAATGTCTATTGAAATTGCTAGCTAGATAGCATGCTGTCAATACATGCCTATGATTCTAGCATTTTATCCAAAAAAAACCTACTTTTACAAAAATTACTGGAGTTCTGTTAAGTAAAATATTAAAAGGAAGTGTTTTGCAAATTTAAGTACTCTCTTTTTACTAACTCCTGGGAAGTAATCATCACAGGTACTCCCTCCTGCACCTGTGTATTATTCAGAAACAGTAAAAATACCATCTTTGGACATAGCCTGCAAAAGTATGAAGTGAAGCACTTATGAAGTGTCACTGACCACCTTTTCTGAGACAATTGGTCCAGATGATCTGTCTGTTTATTAGGCAAAACTAAGACAGAAACATGAAACTAATTCATTTATAGAGGGCTTTGTCTGAAGAAACATTATTTACCTTTCATTACCTTTTCACCTATAAAATGGGACTAAACGCTTGCCGGTTAGAATGCATAATACACATTTTGGTTTTGAAGGGTTTTTTGTGCTCCTAAGTATTGTACTAACAAGCAACCTTTAGAAGAAATGAGCAGTGTAAAAATTTCATGAGTTTGTGTGCTTCTAAATTAACATTTAGGAGCAAATTAGTTTTTATAATTTATTTGAAACATTTGTATTTTGAGCACAAAGACAGCAAAACTAAAAATTAGCGCGGGACATGTAACTTGAAGAGAAGTATTATCCAAAATATTAAATATTTATGCAAAATACCACTGGATCAAGCTATAAATCAATCAGAACCTTAATTTTGTTAAATATTTTTTGTTTTATTTCACTTGCTAAAGGCTTTTTGGTAAGAAAGGCTCCTGCTGCAAGTTCCCTCTTCTTCTTCAGAATTTTCAGGACATTTTCTTCTACTGAATCCTTCACAATGAATCAAAATATGAAAAGAAAAAAAAAAGAAGGAAAAGGAAAAAAAACCCACCCCACCCAAAACACTGAAATAAAGATGCTATTTTCCTCTAAATAAAAGTTTACGACGAGAAGTTCATGTATTCTGGAAAAAAAATGCTAGGGAGCTGAGTATCCTAAGTGCAGTTACATTATTTAACTATTACTTTGTAAACACGGAGAAAAGGGTTGTAAAGCAGTTGGAGGAAAAGGTGAGGTGTTTGAATTTTTTGTGTTTTTTTTTCTTTTAAACATCTATTGTTAGGACATCTATCTTTTCTTTGATTTATTAGAAGAGGACCTGGCTTCAATTTTTCAAGTAATATTTTTGTGATGGAATATTAACAAGCCAGGCTAGCTGCTCTTCCACAGCTAAACTAGCTGCTATGACTGACAAGAGCATTCTACATACCTTCAAGATAATGAACTGTAACAGCCAGGCTAACCAACAGATCTACTACCCCATTTGAGTCACTCCAAATAGCTCAACAGGGACATTTCATTTCTTATATTAAAATCGTACAATCCGAAGCACACTTCAACTGTCACTCCACAATTTAGTTTTACTGGTGAGACTGTGATGGCACAATTATTTTTGAAATACCGTAAAGCTTCTTGGAAAATAATTATTTATTCATAACCAGAACACTGTTGGGATCATCTTTCAATTCACCTTAGTAATTACAGCATTATTCTTCTGACCCTACACGCAACACCTGTCAAAACACTGGTCTTCTGCAGTGGGATTCCAAGCTATTAGAAGCAGCAATGAATAAGTTAAATAACCTCCCTTCAAAACACAGTAGTATGCACATGGCATCACAAAGCAGATATTGTATCACCACCTCTTGAACAAATATTACCTGCAAATGAATTACTCCCTGCCTAATGTCTTATTCTTTAAGTATCCCGCTATAAAGAAAGCTTTGAGAACATCTGGTTATATGTTCATAACAAGCAGGAACTTCAGGTAAATGCTTTAAAAACAGAGTTTGTCAGGAGTCTAGGAGACATCAAAACAATCCTGTTATTTTAATTCTGAAACAAATACTGCATATACTAACTGCCTCAGTACCTGATGGCAAAATCTAAATCAGCTGGACACAGTCAGTTACTTAACAGTAAATTGGACTCTTAAAAAAGCCCACATATACTTTCGTTAGTATATACAATAATCACCATGTTATGTAAACAAGAAATTTTGCTGAACACAGAACGAGTGTAGCTGTTACTACTTGTACTTTGGATGTAACATTAAATGTAAGGATCTGTGAAATGCAAAGTCTGTGCTCTGCATTTTCCCAGAATGTTTTATCTATCTAGAGGTACAGCACTACTAGTTCTTAGAGAAGAGATACTTAAATCTACATGAACTGTAATAATGTTCTGTCTC